ACTCCCCTTTATATAGTAGGGGAGTTTTACCCTAAGTACAATTCCATAAAAGGTAAAAATCTTTCGTTTTGCTAATCACAGATTTTCTGCCGATACGTGACGAGATTCACGCCATGACATCCGGCTTGACATGGATATCACGGCCCTTTGCTAGTCGTGCTCGATTATCTGGTAATGTTCTCCGAAGTTTTGGGATTCGAATTGGACATGGGGGACGTAGCCCCGATTCTTCCAGGGCAGGTATTCTGCCCGGACCCCGACTCGAGGGGCTCTTTGCCCCGATTCCGATTCCTTACGGTCGTATCTCTGCTCCGTTTATTCCATCGAAAACCGAGGTGTCCAACGATCTCGGTTTCACCCGTGTACAATACGCAACAAAAGGGATAGCAAATGACAAAAGACTCGTTCTCAGAAAAGATGGTAAAAACTCGTTGAGCAAAGAAGCAGCAGTAAATTTTCCAAAACAACCGCTCTGCCATTAAAATCAATTTTCTTAGATAAATATTATCCAAAAAAATAAGATATAAAATTTGTCCTATCCATTTAATTATCCTAAATAAACTCTCAATCCTTGAACCAAAACAAACATCACTCTTCTTTTTCAATATAAATACTCCTCAAACTTTCCATTCATCTTCATTCCCCAGTTTCTTTCTCCACATGAAAAGGGGGATTAAAAAAAATTAAGTATATAAAGTAAATAGTATCTGTCAAAGCCCGATAGAGAAAATGGAGTTATGTAACAAAAGCTCTTCTCGTTGGGCTTTGCCTATCTTAGTTTGTTTCTTTGTAGTTTTATTATCCAATAATGGAGTTTTAGCTTCCCACAAAGTTTTTATCCACCTACAAGATACAAGTGCTATAAATATCAAAACTGTCGGCAGAACTGGTTATCATTTTCAACCCCCAAAGCATTGGATCAATGGTACGTACTCTACATACGTGGGTTCTGTTCTTTATATAATGTATTATTAATTAATTTTTCTTACGCATGTACATATAGTCCGAGTAGACGTAGTGAATTTTGTTTAACATGCATGTTGAGTCTAGTCTAGATTTGCCACAGAATAACGCATCATCGATTATTGAAAAACTGTGAATATCTCTCTCATCATCTACGTCAACTGGGTCATCGACAGTTATAAGTTGTCTTGTTATTGTTTTGTTTATATTTTTAATATATTTGTTGTTTCCATTATGAGTTGAATTCTATAATTTTATGAAAAGACATTTTAATGGGATGTCATTTTGGTAATTTGTTCTTCTATTTAACTTTTTAATAGTGACACCGCTTACGAAAAATTTTGCGTACGACCACTGGGTATACATGTTCTCTCTGTGGGTTGATCTGTTATTTAATTATATGTATATTAGTTTTTCTCACGCACATATAGTCTAACATATTGAGTCTAGATTCACCACGCATAACATGTACACCATCAATTGTGCTATAGATGCATGCAATGGTATGTTCCTTTTGAGGGTTGTGTTCTTTATATATGTATGTATCAAACTATTTTCATATATATATATATATATATAGAGAGAGAGAGTCCGAGTAAGACATAATGAATTTTGTCGAACCTATTGCACCTAGTCTATATCCGCCATTTGATAAAATATGAAATCCATTTTTTTAAGGCCGATATTTATAAATGCATGGTATGTTATGATTTCCATTTTTTTTTTGTTCATGCATTCATGACGCAATTGTAATATTAAGATCACTGCATTAATATTATGGAGGAGATGTGACTTTAGATTTCTATTATCTTTCTCTGGTAATTACAAATCCACAATATTCTATTTCCTCTGCATGTCAAAGTGTATAGATAACCACGTTTGCCTATTTTCACCTTTCATTTGTTAATTAATTGAATATATATTCCAAATTTTAATTATTGATATATGTAAATTGTTTCAATTATCTTTACTAATCATTTTTTGTCATTATTTCTTTTTCATGGTCTCTCTCGATGCCTTCAAACAAACGTACAATAGACCCTAATGGTGAGTCAACGATATTTCTTTTTTAGCTTATTTAATTTTTACTATTATATAAAACGTAACCACGAATTATTCCTAACTATGCTAATAATTTTCATGTTATTTCCAACAGCCCCAATGTATTTCAATGGATATTATCATCTATTTTACCAGTACAATCCAAAAGGATCAGTATGGGGCAACATTGTTTGGGCTCATTCAGTCTCAAAAGATTTAATCAATTGGATTAATTTAGAGCCTGCAATTTATCCATCCAAACAATTTGACAAATATGGAACTTGGTCTGGTTCAGCAACAGTTCTTCCTGGTAACAAGCCCATTATTTTGTACACTGGAATAGTTGATGCCAATAAAACCCAAGTCCAAAATTACGCCGTCCCGGCCAACTTATCCGATCCATATCTTCGCGAATGGATCAAGCCCGATAACAACCCGTTAATCGTCCCGGATATTAGCATTAACAAGACCCAATTTCGTGACCCGACAACAGCTTGGATGGGCAAAGATGGTCATTGGAGAATTATAATGGGAAGTTTGAGAAAAAAGAGGGGATTGGCAATAATGTATAGAAGTAAGGATTTTATGAGATGGATTAAGGCTAAACATCCACTTCATTCAACTGCTAATACAGGAAATTGGGAATGTCCTGATTTTTTCCCTGTATCATTACAAGGTACAAATGGTTTAGATAAATATGGTGAAGATTCTAAGTACGTACTTAAAAATAGTATGGATCTTACTAGGTTTGAGTACTATACTGTTGGTACGTACGATATTAAAAAAGACAGGTATATTCCAGATAACACTTCGGTTGATAGTTGGAAGGGATTGAGACTTGACTATGGAAATTTCTACGCATCTAAATCATTTTATGATCCTAGCAAGAATCGAAGAGTTACTTGGGGTTGGGCTAACGAATCGGATATTATGCCCGATGATGATATTAAAAAAGGATGGGCTGGAATTCAACTAATTCCACGTAAATTATGGCTCGACCCTAGTGGTAAACAATTGGTTCAATGGCCTGTCGAAGAATTAGAAACTCTAAGAAAACAAAAGTTCCAATTGAGCAACAAGAAGTTGAACAATGGAGAAATGGTTGAGGTTAAAGGAATCACACCTGCACAGGTAGACTTTTTTTTTTTTCTAAAGAACTTCTATCACTAATATTTATTATTCTTTTGTTTTTATTTTGTATAATATTGGTGTATGATGAGTTTATATGGAGTAAATTAGTCATTGAGAACTCATTTATAACCCAACTTATTTAGGATTGAGGCGTAATTATTGTTAGTGCAATCATATTCTAATAAGACATATCAAGGCACTAAATGAAAAGGGACTTTTACACAAACAAACGGCTAGATTTATAAAAAAATTATATATTGATTTTACACGGTTATACGTACATTACACATGAATTATATATCTATTGGCTATTTTTAGTTTAAACGATTGAATGAACGACTATTTAGGTTAATTCTCGTGAAAATGGCAGGCTGATGTTGAAGTGACATTCTCTTTCGCAAGTTTGGACAAGGCAGAGCCATTTGATCCTAATTGGACTGATCTTTATGCACAAGATGTTTGTGCAATTAAGGGTTCAACTGTTCAAGGAGGGCTTGGGCCATTTGGTATTGCAACATTGGCTTCTCAAAACTTGGAAGAATACACACCTGTTTTCTTTAGAGTTTTCAAAGCACAACAAAATTACAAAGTTCTCATGTGCTCTGATGCCACAAGGTATGTTTATTTTCTCTTTCTTATAAGCACAATTTTAGATCTTTCGAAATTGACCAACCTCCTTATTCAACTGAAATGTTTACATTGACCTAAAATATAGCTGACAGATGTATGATCTATGTATAATTTATACAAAATTAGTGTATAATTTGTGTATATTGAATAACGACTAAATATTTTTGGTTGAGTTGCCACATGTGCAACTTCACTTATTCAATTTTGTTTATTTTGGACAGGTCAACTCTTAAGTACAACGAAACAATGTATAAACCTTCGTTTGCTGGATATGTGGATGTAGATTTAGCAGACAAAAAGTTGTCTCTCAGGAGTTTGGTAATCTTTCTTTTATCAATTTATGTAAATATGTCCAATTCTCTCTGTTTAATATAACTTTTTTTGGTCATTTTTTTTGTCTACAGATTGATAATTCAGTAGTGGAGAGTTTTGGTGCTGGTGGAAAAACATGCATAACATCAAGAGTTTATCCAACATTGGCAATTTATGACAAGGCACATTTATTTGCCTTTAACAATGGTACGGAGCCAATTACAATTGAGACTCTAGATGCATGGAGTATGGGTAATGCTAAGATAGAATAAAAAGTTGGGAGAAAACTATCACAAAAGGGGGAAAATATAAGAATTTGATGGACATGGGAGTTTGTCGCTAGATATGATTGTTACAACTCTATTGTGCCAATAGACAAAAGCAAACTTGTAAATATCCTCTATTTTAAATTTATGAGAATACTATGTTTTTGCTTTCAATTCTTATCTTTTTCCTATAATAATTGCGCATCTACCTAATTCTTATACCATTTGACAAGAAACTGGAAAAAATAATCCTGGGGACTTCGATTGAGAGAGATGGATATTTGTTCCATCGTTTCCAAAGAGCTATGTAATTCAGTCTTTGTACAACATACTTTTTTTTTTTTTCGGTTAATAGTGGCGTACGCAAAAAATTTAATAAGCGATATCACCATTTTAAAAAGTATAATAATAAGCGACACTTTCTTTGTCAGCTTTTAATATACCACGACTATGTCAAAACACAATCGTCAAGCACTGTCTTACATGTTTAAAGTATCTTATGTCATCAACCTTATAATCCACTAATACAGAAAATGACTCAAAATGTTCTAGGGTAAAATATACTTGGTGAAAAACATTTTCCTACATTCTAAACGCACCCAGAAGTGTAAAAAGAACATAAATATTCAAGAATATGTTAGCAATACAATGCTCTCGTTGAGATTCATGAAATACACAATATTATAGATTTGGTCACTCGTCATATGCCTTAACGATGGAACATTTATTGAAGTTCTTGAGATTTTGGGTAATGGACTAAGTTGACTAGGACCACCTTTTCCTCAAAATCAATAGACATCAAATTTAGCCCCTTTCTTTTCCCCATAGATTTTAGTTTCAAAGTAACAGTCACTGGGAAAATACAAGATACATGATGTATGCAAACTAAAGAAACCGTCTTTTCAGATTTGGTAGAGCTTTCATTATTCTTTAAACTAAATCAAATTTGAACCCGCGATAACAAATTCTATGAACATCATAAACATTCCTGTGTAGTACTTACAAACCGTAAAAAGATACATTTACTTCACAGCACCTTACAATCAATGACTGCATGAAGGTACTAGTTGAAAAATGTTTCTATACATTAAAAACATCATCCTTGTATAGCAAGTTCCGGTCTGGTTGCTAATAGAACTGAACCACCACTTCCACTAAACTTCAACTTAACATTCAAACAACCCTCCAACTCTTAATTCGCAAGTGTCTTGTAGCTAATATAATTCTCAAGCCGAAGGTTTATTGGAAACAACTTCTCCATCTCACAAAAGGTAGGTAAGGAGCTACGTACACTCCACCCTCCCCATACTCCATTTGTGGGATCACACTCCATTTGAGGCCAAAGGATGAGTTGTCTGAAAACATGACCATACATCTTCACTTTGTAAGCAAATAAATGAATAAATCAATATGTTGAAAAGGGCAAGATTGGCAAGTCATAATACATTACCATAACTATTAGAGCTCACAGTCATTTGTGAGTTGCACATATAGTAGTTTCATCATCCGTGCCAATGACAAGCAAGAAATATAAATGATTTATAG